GGTCATAGACGTGGCACGGCTTGAGTGAGGCCTGGTTGTGCACATGACACTGCCTGGGTGAGGCCTGGCGGATCGTGCACCTGGCGCAACCTGAGTGAGGCCTAGTTAATCATGCACATGGCGCAGCCTGAGTGAGGCCTAGTTGACAATGCACCTGGTGCAGCCTGAGTGAGGCCTAGTAAATCGTGCACCTAGCGCAGCTTGAGTGACGCCTGGTTGATCGCGCCCATGGCGCAGCCTGAGTGAGGCCTAGTTAATAGTGCGACGGACCCCAAGCTGTGTTCCTGCCAAGGCAACATTGCGACAGACCCCAAGCTGTGTTCCTGCCAAGGCAACATTGCGACGGACCCCAAGCTATGTTCCTGGAAAACTTCACGGAGATCGTCAAGACGGCCAAGGGTCGTGAATGAAGAGTCCCCTGTGTGGGCTTCAGTGGGGCCGTCTGGTCAGGCAGCAGAGACACGAGAGGCCAAGAAACGACATTCCAGTTGTGGGCTGAGCTCAAGGAGGGCTAGCTCGAGCACCATCCTGCGGCGGGGAAAGGAGGCGGTGCAAGCGGTTCAGCCGAGCCCACAACAGCCAAAAATCTGCTGTCCCTGTCTGGGGGGGGGAGGGGGGCACTGTTCAACCCTAGCACATGGGCAAGAAGCCGTGCATATGTGACGAGTGCGGCAAGACGTTTCCCGCGCTCAGCCTACAGTTTTGTTGCCAGAAAAAGGGGAAAAACCCTATTATTATATTTTGGTACTGGCAAAGGAGATCTACTGATGTAGATGCTCACCCCGAGCCCTCATCACTTTGATAGTGCATTATCTTTGAGTTGTATGCCTTCTGGCGTCATCTGGTCCTGCACCATTTGGGTCGAGGCTCAAAAGAAAGCCGTCCCTTGGTGTGGACCAATCAGTTTCAAGGACAATGCATATATTATCATAATATGTTTTTTGTTTGCATTTAGACTGCAGGTATTGTGGTTAATGCAGACATGAATCCTTGTAAAAAGGTTTCAGTTTTGTTGCCAGAAATAAGGGGAAAAAACCCTATTATTACATTTTGGTACTGGCAAAGGAGGTCTAATGATGTAGCTGACTCCTTGTTTAAAAACTTTTACTTTGAAGGTCTGGCTCTAAAAACAGCTCTCCCAAATAATCAACATATATTGGTAGTGTGCTGCTATCGACCGCCTAGTGGGAAGGATGTTGAAACTGCATCTGCACTGAGAGAGCTTTTTGGTGGCCTCCCTAAAGGTGAAATAGTTTTAGTGGGTGATCTAAATTGGAATTGGCTAAACCCGCCGGCTGTGACCACAAATTTTGCAGATTAATTTAATCTGTTTCAATTAATAAATGTCCCCACAAGACCCAACCTAAAAAATCCGGGACAGTCATCTCTGCTTGACATCCTATTGACAAATGCCCCTCACAATTTCATACTGACTGGTGTTCTGGGTAATAACCTTAGTGATCACTCCTTCATTTTTGGGGTGAGATCATCAGCCAGACCCAAAGCCCCCCCTAAATTGGTTGAGAAGCACTCTATGAGACACTTCAGCACTCAGGCATTTACTAATGATGTGCTTCACTCGGATATTGACAAGGTCTGTGATATCCCCAACCTGACTACGGCTTGGGAGACCTTCAGGTACACGTTTCTCCAAATTCTTAACAAACATGCTCCGTTGGTTAGATTTAAAAATAAAGGCAACCGCCCACCATGGTTTGATCCTTTGATTACAAAGCTCATGAAAACTAGGGACAAGGCTTGGGCATGTGCTCAGAAAAGTAATTTGGTCAATGACTGGCTAGATTACAGGATTTTAAGGAATAGATGTGTCAAAAAATACGCATGCAAAAAATGCCTACTTTTCCTCCACTCTCCTGGAATCACATGGAAATGCCAGGATTTTCTGAAAAACAATCAAATGTATCGAAAAGGCATCCAAAACAGACAATCTGCCCGTTGAGCTTAACCGAAAATGGGGAATATTTTTCAGATCCCAAAATAATAGTTGACAATTTTAACCTTCATTTTTCTGAAGCTGGTAATCTTTTGCTAATGTATTGGGAATCACCTCTGTTCATGCAAATTCCTACACCCCTGTCCAAACATTAAACGAATTTAGTTTCCAGCCAATCCACGAAAGTAATGTTCTGAAACAACTGTCCTACCTCAAAGGGTCCTCCTCTACCGGAGCAGATAGTATTCCCATCTTTGCTCTACTAACTGTTGGTCACCTAATATACAAACCTATAGCCCATATTTTCAACCTGTCCATCAAACAAGCATCAGTTCCTCTAGAGTGGAAACATTCCTATGTCCGTCCACTTCACAAAGGGGGCCCTAAAGATGATCCAAATAACTACCGACTTATCTCAATTTTGTCCCCGTTGATGAAAATTTATGAAAAATTATTGACCTACCAAATTAGCAGTTTCCTGTCCACCAACAATCTACTACATCTAAAACAATCTGGGTTCCGAAAAAAATACAGCACCATATCTACTGCATTAGACTCTCTGAATCACATTTACAGTAGCCTTGATAATAAGCAGTACTCTGCCTGTCTTTTTCTAGACCTGTCTAGAAAGCTTTTGATACAGTAGACCACAACACCCTGCTTAGTAAACTGAGTTGCCCCGGTTTTTTCGAAAACGCAGTAAATTGGTTACAAAATTATCTCTTTTCTCGCACCCAAACTGTATTCACAGATGGTTGGAGGTCAAACAGTGTTAAGATAACAAAAGGGGTTCCACAGGGTTCCCCCTTTTGTTCTCTCTTTATGTCAATGACTTGGGCACTGACCTGGATCATTCCAGGGTAAATCTTTTTGCAGATGACACGATACTGATTACTGCTGGCCGCTCTCCGGATGACGTGATTGCTAAGCTACAGGGTGATTTCAACAAACTACAACATCAGCTAGTTGCTCTTAAACTAGTCCTGAATACCTCCAAAACCAAGGTGCTATGCTTCTCACCAGGACTAAAGCAGGAAGTTATTTTTCCCCAATTACATTCCTTAAATAATTATCAAATAGAGCAAGTCAAGATCTATACGTATCTTGGGGTCATCCTGGATTCAATACCGAATTTTGAAGATCACATTGATTATATTGGTAAAAAGACAAAAATAAAAATTGGTTTTCTGTATCGACACAAGCACTGCTTCCCCCCAATGTTCCGTTTGGAATTGATAAAAGCTACCATACTGCCTCTACTTGACTACTGTGACATCGTGTATAAATCAGCCCCAAGTACTGTACTGAAGAAGCTTGATTCCATCTATCACTCAGCCTTAAGATTTACAGTGAACTGCCCATATAGGACTCACCACTGTGATCTCTACATTGGGTCAAACTTAACATATCTTAATGTTCGACGGCTTGTGCACCAGATCTTATTTATTCACGATGTACTTACAAAAAAATCCGCAGACTACCTGCTGGATCTTCTCTCTGATTCAAAGAACAAATTTGACCTCAGGTCTTCGCTCATTTACCAGCTTCACATTCCCTTTTGCCGTACAAAAACTGGAGGAAGGGCCTTTGCTATTGATGCCCCCAGGGTCTGGAATGCTATTGCCAATAAACTGAAATTTTAATCGTTACCAATGAGATATTCTCTCAAAACTGCTCTAGAGGAGTTGTACACCCCTAGCTGCCACTGCTATTCATTGGCGTAAATAAAATAAAATGTTTCGCTCCGGATGACGTTGCAAAGTATTCTGTATTTTTATTTAGCATGCTGATCTTAAAGGTGCATTGAAAATTTTTATACTCCAACTGATGCTTCTGTTGTTGTGGAGTAACTCATGCAGCCAGCTATGGCTCTAGGATTTGGTGTTACATGTTATTTATGTAGTTTATTGTAAAAATTCGGTCACAGTCCCTGTGATCACTGTTACGTTGCAATTATGGCTTTATTTTTTGGTAATTTCGAAAATGTTTTTTGTTTTGGACATGTTTGTTTTGTTGTAGTACGGAGTTAGACTGATGGCCTTAATCTAAGTTTTCTTGTGGCTGTTGTTTGACTTGCATCCCACTGGGATATTTTGCACACAGCGTTGGTGTACGGTGCTTTTTTCAGGAATATTTTGCTGTTTTTTCATGGATTTTCTGTTTGCAAAGTCACATAGTCACTTTAAGGTGTTTTTCTTGTTCGTGTTTTTGTTTGTTGTGGTTGCACCCGATTCAAGAGCCGAATGGCTCACAGGGCTATACCAAAATAAATAAACTAAAAAAAAACTATTAAACCGGAGCCGGTCATGAGCACACTGCCCAGGTATGGAAAACTCTCCACTCCCTCCACAACTGCCCCATCACCAATTGGGAGTTGTGTGGGTGGATTGTCCGATGGTACAAAATACCCAGGTAGGTGCTTAGTTTTGGTGGGGCTGATGGTAAGGCCCCATCTCTTAGTGGCAAGCTCCAGGTTCAGCAGCAGCGCCTCCAACTCCTCTGAATGAGCAACAATTACCAGATCATCAGCATACATAACGTGGTTGAGCAATAGGGAGCCATCCATTGACCGCACCCGGGCATCGATCATTATATCTGTACCATATGGAGATTCCCCCGGTACAGCTATTGAAGGCTTCACGAACTACGTGGTCAAAATAGATGTTAAATAATGTGGGAGCCAGAGGACATCCCTGTCGCACCCCAAGGTGTACAGGGAATGGCTCTGACTCCCGGCCACGTAGTTTTACCCGGGCCCGCTCACCATCATGAAGATCCTTAATGATCGTGAGCAGAGGGTCAGGTACTCCAAAAGCACGAAGAACGACCCAGAGCCCAGGCCTACTGATGGTATCATAGGCCTTGGCCAGGTCAATTCACGACCCTATTCACTGCACTTTCCCCTTCAACCAAACCGCTGCGCCACCGCTCCCCTCTAATGACAAACACCCGCGCGTGACGTCGGCCCCCCGAAGGGGCGGGGGGTCGAGTGCGGTTTTAAATTCACCGCGCTCCCTTAGGCCGGGTTCGTGGGGGGGAGTCAAACTGAGAGGGTGCGCGCGCTGCAGGAGGTGGTTGCGGTAATTGTTGTTGTTGTGGTGGTTGTTGTGGTTGTTGTGGTGGTGGTGGTGATCAACACCGGTGACGATTAGCTGACACGGTCCTGAAGCCTCCCCTAGGTCGACTCTGCCTCAAATGAGTACCCGGTGAGGTGTGTAAACGTCGCCACTGGGGAAGACAAAGGCGGCCGGGCGGGGTTGCTGGCCAACCTCCCCCCCCCCGTGTGCCACAGTGCCGGTAGCCCTCATAGGAGCTGCAGGATAACGGCACTTGCCCTTACAGTCTGTTAACACTGTACGGGCGTCTTTGTCTTTGTCGGAGTAGTTCGCCGCGGTCCCTGACCCCCACCTCATTCGTTGGGCTCCTCAGGTGACGGCGAACACTCGCACCAACTTAAACACCGCGATTGTTGTTATTGTTATTATTATTGTTGTTAACCTTCGTTATTAAACACGGTAATAATAATGTAGACACGCTTTAAACAACGCATGGACGGCGGTAATAACGCCGTGTTGCGAAGGGACAAACATTTGACACGGCGGATCCGCGTAACTACGTTAGTGTTTTAACATTGTCAGTAACTACGTTAATGTATTAACATTGCCCTACGTTAATGTATTAATATTGTCAGTAACTACGTTAGTGTATTAACATTGTCAGTAACTACGTTAATGTATTAACATTGCCCTACGTTATCGTATTAACATTGCCAGTAACTACGTTAATGTATTAACATTGCCTTACGTTAACGTATTAACATTGCCAGTAACTTCGTTAGTGTATTAACATTGCCTTACGTTAACGTATTAACATTGCCAGTAACTACGTTATTGTATTAACATTGCCCTACGTTAGTGTATTAACATTGCCAGTAACTACGTTAGTGTTTTAACATTGCCTTACGTTATCGTATTAACATTGTCAGTAACTACGTTAGTGTATTAACATTGCCTTACGTTAACGTATTAACATTGTCAGTAACTACGTTATTGTATTAACATTGTCAGTAACTACGTTAATGTATTAACATTGCCCTACGTTATCGTATTAACATTGCCAGTAACTACGTTAATGTATTAACATTGCCAGTAACTACGTTAATGTATTAACATTGCCTTACGTTAATGTATTAACATTGTCAGTAACTACGTTAATGTATTAACATTGCCCTACGTTAGTGTATTAACATTGCCAGTAACTACGTTAATGTATTAACATTGCCCTACGTTAATGTATTAACATTGCCCTACGTTAGTGTATTAACATTGCCAGTAACTACGTTAATGTATTAACATTGCCCTACGTTAATGTATTAACATTGCCAGTAACTACGTTAGTGTATTAACATTGCCCTACGTTAGTGTATTAACATTGTCAGTAACTACGTTAGTGTATTAACATTGCCTTACGTTAACGTATTAACATTGTCAGTAACTACGTTAGTGTATTAACATCGCCTTACGTTAACGTATTAACATTGTCAGTAACTACGTTAGTGTATTAACATTGCCTTACGTTAACGTATTAACATTGTCAGTAACTACGTTATTGTATTAACATTGTCAGTAACTACGTTAATGTATTAACTTTGCCCTACGTTATCGTATTAACATTGCCAGTAACTACGTTAATGTATTAACATTGCCTTACGTTAATGTATTAACATTGCCAGTAACTACGTTAATGTATTAACATTGCCTTACGTTAATGTATTAACATTGTCAGTAACTACGTTAATGTATTAACATTGCCCTACGTTAGTGTATTAACATTGGCAGTAACTACGTTAATGTATTAACATTGCCCTACGTTAATGTATTACCATTGCCAGTAACTACGTTAGTGTATTAACATTGCCCTACGTTAGTGTATTAACATTGTCAGTAACTACGTTATCGTATTAACATTGCCAGTAACTACGTTAGTGTATTAACATTACCAGTAACTACGTTAATGTATTAACATTGCCAGTAACTATGTTAATGTATTAACATTGCCCTACGTTAATGTATTAATATTGCCAGTAACTACGTTAATGTATTAACATTGTCAGTAACTACGTTAATGTATTAACATTGCCCTACGTTAATTTTATTAATATTGTCAGTAACTACGTTAATGTAATAACATTGTCAGTAACTACGTTTATGTATTAACATTGCCCTACGTTAGTGGATTAACATTGCCAGTAACTACGTTATTGTATTAACATTGCCCTACGTTAGTGTATTAACATTGCCAGTAACTACGTTAATGTATTAACATTGCCCTACGTTAGTGTATTAACATTGCCCTACGTTAGTGTATTAACATTGTCAGTAACTACGTTAGTGTATTAACATTGCCCTACGTTAGTGTATTGACATTGCCAGTAACTACGTTAATGTATTAACATTGCCAATAACTACGTTAATGTATTAACATTGCCAGTAACTACGTTAGTGTATTAACATTGCCCTACGTTAGTGTATTAACATTACCAGTAACTACGTTAATGTGTTAACATTGCCAGTAGCTACGTTAATGTATTAACATTTCCAGTAACTACGTTAATGTATTAACATTGCCCTACGTTAATGTATTAACATTGCCCTACGTTAATGTATTAACATTGCCCTACTTTAATGTATTAACATTGCCCTACGTTAATGTATTAACATTGCCCTACTTTAATGTATTAACATTGCCCTACGTTAATGTATTAACATTGCCAGTAACTACGTTAATGTATTAACATTGCCGGTAACTACGTTAATGTATTAGTGTTGCTCGTAACTACGACGTTTAATGTTGATATTAGCCAGTAAAAATAGTATCGGTATTAACCTTTAAAAGAGGTATACTATACTCTAATTTAAACAATGGATTTTAATCGTACAGCAATACAGTACTGTACTTTAACCTGATTCAACAACAATCACATGCGCATTGTGCTGTATAACAATGATAATAATACAGTAACTCCTGTACCACGTGAACAGCTTCACATTTTGATTTAAAGCTTTCGTGACTGCAGTAATTCATATTCTTAGCTCTTTCGGTAAAGTCACGTTGAAGGGAAACAATAAATAATAAAATATATATAAAACAATAAAAAATTCTCACGACGTTTCGACCATAACACAAACGGTCGTCATCAGGTGTGCCGGTTTGCATAAATTTATTTATTTTTAAACGGTTTATTTATTTATAAAAACGTCAGCGCCACGCGCAGCGATTTGGCAGTTTATTTAGAAGGACGAGTCCATCTATGTTCTGAAAAGAGGAGGGGGGAGACGAAAAAATTAATGTATGCTGTCTGAAAGCCACTGTAAGCGTGAACAATCAATTAAGACCTGAAATGGTTTATCAAATCTTTCCAATGATTGCTAAGCCAGAATCCATCTTCTCGGTTGAAATTGTCTCTGTGCTTGTATATGTGGATAGCCTCATGAACGAATCTCTCATGGTAGCCAGATGGCTTACAAAGAACCTCTGTCTTGGAAAAATCAATGTCATGTGAGCCTACTGAATTATAACAATGATCTGCCACGGTCGAGGTTTTGGTCCTTCCGTGTTTAAGGTCTGCTTTGTGTTCACGAATGCGGTCCGAGACATGGCGTTTGGTTTCTCCAATGTAACTACTACACATTCCCTATTGCCCTACAAAAACTGGAGGAAGGGCCTTTGCTATTGATGCCCCCAGGGTCTGGAATGCTTTTGCCAATAAACTGCAACTTGAATCGCTACCAATGAGATCTTCTCTCAAACTGCTCTAGAGGAGTTGTACACCCCTAGCTGCCACTGCTATTCATTGGCGTAAAATAAAATAAAATGTTTCGCTCCGGATGACGCTGCAAAGCATTATCTGTATTTTGATTTAGCGTGCTGATCTTAAAGGTGCATTGAAAAATGTGATACTCCAACTGATGCTTCTGTTGTTGTGGAGTAACTCATGCAGCCAGCTATGGCTCTAGGATTTGGTGTTACATGTTATTTATGTAGTTTATTGTAAAAATTCGGTCACAGTCCCTGTGATCACTGTTACGTTGCAATTATGGTTTTATTTTTTGGTGATTTCGAACACGTTTTTTGGTTTGGACATGTTTGTTTTGTTGTAGTACGGAGTTAGACTGATGGCCTTAATCTAAGTTTTCTTCTGGTTGTTGTTGTTTGACTTGCATCCCACTGGGACTTTTTTTGCACACAGCGTTGGTGTACGGTGCTTTTTTCAGGAATATTTTGCTGTTTTTTCATGTATTTTCTGTTTGCACAGTCACATAGTCACTTTAAGATGTTTTCTTGTTCGTGTTTTTTGTTTTTTTGTTTGTTGTGGTTGCACCCGATTCAAGAGCCGAATGGCTCACAGGGCTATACCAAAATAAATAAACTGAAACAACATTAATGGCGATGTCTAAATCGTATCGAAGCGATAATCGTTATTGTATTACGATACTGTACTGTATTCCTGTTGCATTCCTGTGTTATTGGTTTGGAGAGAAGGGAGGCCTTTGTACAGCAAATGGATTAATCATAGTTTTCGATGTGAATAATACGTGTAACATTCATCAGTATTGTATGATTCACTTGATTAACAGTGCTTTAGTGTTCAGTGTTGTATTCGCGCTGTGTAGTTACGGGGGGTTGCTGGTGGAGCGTTGGCTTCACGCCCTGCACTATGAACCCGAGTTCGATTCCCGACCACTGCGAATTAGAGGCCGACCGAAACTGAATTTCTGGTTTCGGCCGAAAACGAAACCAGACCGAAAGTTAAAAATTTACTTTCGGCCGTAACCTAAACTATGCCGAAAGAGACCATTTGCCAACTTTCGGCGCCGAAACCGAATTTCGGTCTGCCTCTACCGCGAATTTCAGTGGAGTGACATCTGAAATGGTCCTGCACCCCGCCCGCCCGCCCCACCACTAACCTACACTGACCAGCGTGCCACGACAGACACATGGTCAACACAAAGACAAGACAAAGATCCCCCGTATGGAATTAGAACAGACTTTTGGGGCAAGTGCTGCCAGCGAGCGCCTAAAAAAGGCCGGCGCGCACCATGCGCGCAAAGCAGTGGGGTGGCCAAACACTACCGCGCCGTGGCGATGTTTACACGCCCACACCAGGTACTCGTTCAAGGCTGAGTCGACCTAAGGGAGACCCAGGACCGGTTGAAATATTCGGCAGCTATTGGTTGGTGAGCGGAAACCGAACTCGGCGCGCCGGGTTTGTAGTGCAGTGCCCCCTGACCATTCTACTACCGCAAGAGTAACGGTCAAACAACACCCGTGATCAGCACAGCGTGGGGAGGCCTTCATCCAGAAGTGTTTTGGCAAAGCGTTATAAATTATCCATCATCAGTGTGTTTTTTGGGTTAGATCGCATAAATATAAACATCTCGTTAAACCCACCAACACTAGCCAATTAGTAATGTTTGTCACGCTAACAAAACTTACCAAATAGTTACTACTTCAGCACACACCTGTGCGTTGGAGAGTAAACCAACATCATTTACAGATTGTTTCGCTGGTGATGGCAAACAGCTTCATCAGGCGAGTATCCAGAATTGTGAAGGAGTCCTGTTTCGGTTTTAAATAGAGTTAAGGTGATGTCGTCGCAGTGAGCCTGTCAGGAGCAACATTCAGAGGAGGGTTAATGTCATATAAATTTCAATGGATCATGCTAATCTGACAATATGCAGTACCTATTATTGGTTGGGTTATTCACAGTTAACCAACATACAGTGGAATGCTTTTATGTTTAGTTTGTTTGTCCCACCCCTTACCTCTAATTTACATTAACTACACGTTTATATTTACACGCTCTTACCCAAAATATACCTTTATTATGGGTAACATTAACATTGGTCGCAAGTGCCTCCTACGTGTTAAACTGACATTGTAAATGACTCGTTCTTTTAGATGTTGCGTCCGTTGCGTTTGCGCAGTGATGGCAGGACACGGACACGGACACGGCCACGGCCCCGGTGGTGGGCACTGCGAGGCGGAGAGCCACGAGGAGGATGCGGAGAGAGGCGTGCAGTACGGACTCTTCCTGAAGATCGACCGCGACCGGCTCGAGTGCCTCAACGAGCAGCTTGACGGCTCGGGGAAGCAGGTCTTCCGGCCCTGGGATGAGCGGAACGACCGGAGCAGAGTAGGCGATGCTCGGACGCAACTCTGCACTTTTGTTTGTATGACTGTGAAAGCTGCATTGTTACCGTAGCCTGGCTCATGTTTTGTATGGAGAGTGTGTGTGTTGAACTTCTTTTGCACCGTACGTATCCAACCACGCCAATCGGAGGTGATGGTGAAAACTGCATTGTAACGCAGCCTGGCCCATGCTGTGTATGATCGGGAAAATAATGTATATTCGAAAGTAAATTACATGTCCAGATATGTTTTGTCAGTCCACTGCTGGATGAGGGCCTCCCCACACTGTAGTTTGTGGCAGTTATATTACCATACCTTCACGCTCATCCGTGTGAGTCTATGAAGCTGCTAAGACTGCATGGTAGTAAAAACTTCACTGCCCTCTGCTTGCCACAACACGACCATGCAGCGCCCGTAACAACTTATTATGCATGGTGGTCACCCATACAAGCACTCTCCAGGCTCAACCCTGGTTGGTTTGGATTCTGAGATTTGATGAGAAGGGCCGCAATCTGTGTGATTTGGTCAAAGGAAAGAGTACATTATTTTCAGTTATAGATATTTAGTGTGTATTTTTCTCCATACAATACTGTTTGTCTACTACCACAAGGAAATTATGACTCTATGGTAATGACCGCAGTTATCAAGTAATAATAACACGCCATTTTTATTTCACTTTAGTTTGTTGAAAGCGATGCGGATGAGGAGCTGCTATTCAACATCCCGTAAGTAGAGGTCTGTTTCAATCGCATTTACCTCCATTTTGGTTTGTTATCCCAATCTTAATTACATTCTAACTTAGCTCTCTGCACTGAGCCATGAGATTAAGACATTTCAATTTGGAAAAAATATTTACGTTCATGCAAAGTATATGCAAATAACGCTCCAGTTCTGCTTGGGCTAATGTAGTGAACAACACTATACTGTACAACGGAGACGCAACACTTGCAAACTATAAAAATCGGATGGTAAAACTTATTAAATTATGACCCTGAAACGTAATAATTTATCCAATCGCTCCATTAATTTCTGACATGGTTTTAGCCCGCCCCGGGCCAGCCATCCAATTCCTTCACCGTCTCCCTTAGACCCCCCCTCCCTTGTCTTGTGTTGATTTACCATCAGTGTTGTACACTCCACCGACTTTACCATACAGCACTCCGCCCATCTGTTGCTGCTGCTGTCGCCCAGGTTCACTGGGAATGTGAAGCTGAAGGGGATTGTGCTGATCGGGGGAGAAGATGAGTCTCACCCTGCGGAGATGAGACTGTAAGGCACTTGGCATGCGCATCGCGTTTCCTTAGCTGCAGTGCCTCGGTATAAAGGCAGATAAAGGTGCAGCCCTGCAATTGCTTGCTGATACCACTGCTGGCGGAAGGGGCCTCCCACTATAGGGGGCTCTAGAGAGCCCGTATACAGGGACTCCACTACTTACGAACGTTCAACTTACGAACTTTCAGAGATACGAGCAAACCTGTCCCTATGTCCATTTGCCTGTTTGGACCGAGAGCCATAAGTTCAACCACCGCACAATAGATGGTGGTGGTGGCATCTACATCTGCAGAACATGACGAACCAGTTGCATCTACATCTACAGGAGATTATACAACTTTTAAAGCCATTTCCCTTGTATGAGTAGATGCCATACAGCATGTCTGGAATCGGCAGGATGAACAAATCTATTTGCGAACAGACCTGGAATCCATCTCGTTCGTAAGTAGAGGAGTTCCTGTATTATTATTTTACCTGTTCGATGCTGGCCATGCTTTATAGATATAGGTGGCAGCACCCACACTTTACCCCATCAAATGCAACCTTTCGAGCGACTTAATTGTGATTGGTGTTACCCATTTATAAGGCTGGGTGGACAGAGGCAGGGGAGGGTTATTAGAAACTTGATAATTTTGTAAACTGCTATGCCGGGAGGTCGAAATTGTGATCTCTGGATTGCAGGTTCATTGTGGCCACCTATACACATCGGCAGTTTATGTGGGTAATGCAGAAATATCTCATGGGGCCTCCTTTGCCAGTACCAAAATATGAGAATAGGTTTTCCCCTTTTTTCTGGCAACAAAACAGCTGTGTTAAGATATTCTTTGGGTCTATCGGTCAAGCCTTTTGGCGTCCTCTGGTCTAACACCGTTTGAGACTAGGCGCCTTTTGGCATCCTCTGGTCTAACATCGTTTGAGACTAGGCGCCTTTTGGCGTCCTCTGGTCTAACACCATTTGAGACTTGGCGCCTTTTGGCATCCTCTGGTCTAACATCGTTTGAGACTAGGCACCTTTTGGCGTCCTCTGGTCTAACACCGTTTGAGACTAGGCTCTGGTGTGGACCAATCAGTTTCAAAGACAATGCGTTTCTTATCCGAGTGCTTTTTGTTTGCTGACCACAAGTTTTGTAGTTAATGCAGACATGATTCCTTGTAAAAGGTTTCAGTTTGGTGTTTTAACATCTTAACACCTGTTTTGTTGCCAGAAAAAAGGGGAAAACCTATTCTCAGAATGCAGAAATGTTTTTTTTGCCTCGCGTCTCTTTAGGGCATTCCAAGGATAGGTGACGTGAGAGAGCCACGATAATTTTGTAGTCGATGGGTAGCCCGTACTATGGACACGGTGACTCTTCATACTCTTGGTAGTGGAGTGGTTAGGCAAGTGCTGCCCCCTACTGGACCGTGCGTAACTTGATGGGATCTCAAAGGTAGCTTTGCGGTATCCTCTTCCATGGGCTGTCATCGAACACTGCTGTACGAGAGATATGAACACATACTTCTCATGACACGACACCGGTTTAACATTCGGGATCAAATTGTGGGAATAACACATTCAGGGGTGCCGTAGTAGCGAGATATTAACTACCTCGCTTGGTATACAGACGGTCGGTTCGATGCTGACCCTAAAGCCTGTATATTTGGAGTTTGCATATTCTCCCCGTGATTATGTTGATTTTTCTCTGGGTCCTCCAATTTTTCCTCCACATGTAGAAACATGCTTTTAGAGTATTTGGCTGCTATATATTTCCACGATAAGCCATTGTGTTGAGCTATCATTTGTGGCCAGGTCGTTTCTGAAAAAGAGTTATATATCTCAGCAGGCCTTGCCTGGTAAATAAAAATTATTTAGTTTTACGATCAGATGGAAAGATTACTGAAGATGACTGTTGGGCGTTTTTTAAACACAACACATGTCACAGATGCCACACAGAGGAGGGCCTCGCTTGTGACCTGGCAGTGTGTGTGTGCGTGGCGCGCGTACCCCACAGTTTCAAGAACCTGCCACACATGTCGTTTGATGATACGACACGGGAACCCGACCAGGTGTTCGGCCTCCAGCACGACGACACGGGCCTGCTGGAGTACCCCACCAAGTAAGGGGCTGTGCACCTTTCACGAGCTCCGCCAGAGTGCGGTCCACCGTTGACGAGCTAAATTTTAGTTATTTATTTTGTTTTAACTGGGTGAGAACCAGGGGGGAGTCTCGTATGAAGGGCCTGCAAGAGTGACCTGGGGCATTTGTCTGCAAGTAGGGGCAGATGTTTGCTTTGTACGATTCCGATTTTCGAGTTGGGCAGAATATGGGCCCCGGAGCTGGCACACGATGGCCTACTCTTATCCACAGTGAAGCAGACAGCATGTCATATTGTTCTTACCCTTGCAGTAACCTCTGCAACATGTAGGTATGCATGTCGAACTTTCTTCGCACCGTACGTAGCCAACCGTGCTAATCAAGAGTGTGGTGAACGCGCTCCTCCTGGGGCATGTCGTCCTGCAGTAAAATCGGCAGGCATCGTGTTTTGTGCTTGCGCACGCAAAGCCCTATGCTGCCATTCATGATTGTGTACATATGTACAGCCGTCTTGTTCATCCACTGCTGGATAAGGGTCTCCCCACTCAGTGCGGGTCGTGAGAGTTTTTTCACCTTTGGTCGGGGAGCATAGACGTGGGAACAGTGCAAAACTACAATGAATGTTGCAATACTGCCCACAACGTAGCCCTATTAATCGCACACTTTTATGTATGGTGGTCACCCATTCGTCTCTATGCAGGCTCCATTTTGCTAAACGTAGGAGATGCGACGAGTTTGGACGCGATCCAGGTGGTTTGGTCATAGGGAATCGCAAATACGGCCGAATTAAATTGTTGGTGGAGAAACGGTTTCTGCCAGACTATAATAGAACGTCAGAAATTCCAACGTCAAAACTGGAACCTTCTGAGAAGCTGCGTTACATGTGCCTTTTATAGTTTGGTCAGCAGAGGGCGCTAATAACCAATCATCATGTATCCAAATTGTTAAGAGGTCCGAGAAATAGGCAGTCGAGTTTAGGATTTCAGCCTTTTACTGAATTTGCAGCACTGGCTCGTCAGATAACATGTGAATTAGGTCACTTTTCTGCCGCATACAGTTATAACCAACCCGTGCCCATAACAGAGCACATCACCCCAATACCTCGATTCATCCACCAGCTCCCAATGCAGTCCCAGATGAACTACAGTCCTACGTTACCCTCATCATCTTCACGATTCAGCATGGATTCACCCCCCCTCCCCGCCTGCCTTGTCCCACTTCTTGTCCCTGAGCGCTCAGCTCCAGCAATCGTGGTATCTTAGTCGAAGGCCCCAGTTAACCTAGGCTTTGTGGGTGTCGCTCCTTCCTTTGTCGTCCCCGTAGTTTGAAATTCTCTCGCACCAGCCTCATCCACACTGTCGACTTGTTGTCTCCTGTTTAAGTTTAGAGCAAAGACTTTTCTCTGCCTATGAGTGATCAAGTGTGTTTTTTTTTTCTTTAGCAAAAAAAATAATGATACCTCCGTTCTCCTAAACCTAAACTTGTCCCACGTTTCATTCGGTTTCTCAAGACGCGGTTACAGTTAGACGCTGTCTTAATCTGAAATGTAACGCAGTAAGGTCCCCTATGTTGTTCCTGTTTACATTGTCTCAATCGCCTCGCCAATGAATTGGGGAACGTAATTCGATTTTAAAACGCATTGATTCACCAAAACGTTGTTTTGAAGAAAATTAATTGAAAAAAAACGCAATACCGGGCGGTCCCCGCTTTTATGACACAATGGGTTCCAGGAAACGCGTCATAAATCGGATCATCGTAAATCGAGGCGTTCTACTGTAAATGCAATCTCCACTATTATCTTTGGTGAGTACGAGGAGTAAACTTTTATAATTATTTGTTTAAACTTGCTACATTACATATTTTGTTATATTTGTAGTTTTTTACGTAATATTTCTTATGCGAATTTTTACCCAAAAAAAAATCACCCCCAGGAAAGTATCCTAACTTTATATAATTAAGTAAAGGGTATAGAAGCTTTTGATTTACGTTGTTTCGCCTACCGTTGCGTTTTCCAAGGACGCATCACCAACGTAAATGGATGACTCGCCATATTGTTTTGTCATGTGTGTAAATGCAATCTCCACTATTATCTTTGGTGAGTACTTGGAGATAACTTATATAATTATTTAACAAAACATGTAATGTAGCAAGATTAAATAAATAATTATGTATGTTACCTCCGAGTACTCATCAAAGATAATAGTGGGGATTGCATTTAAAGTAGAACGCCTCTTAACGACCACCCCTGTTAACGACTAATTGCTTAACGACGTGCCTCCATAGAGCCCAATGTGTCGTGTATAGTGTAGTGTCATGTCTGTATTGTCCACATTGGTTTTAACATTAGTTTGACAGGCATCGAGTTTCTTGATATTGAGACATGGCTTGTGGTGTTATGGCACGATAGAAGTTGTTATTGTTATTACTACACAGCAGCCTATTTGTGAATGATATATTTTTACCATATAATACATGTAATTGGTGTATAGTCGTATCTCACAGGTGAGCCTGTATGTCAGTGCTAGGCATGTTAACGATTTACCCATCAGCCCACAATATATTGAATGACTGTGGTTTAATTCAAGAATGCATGTTTTTTGGTTACATTATTTCATGCGTGCACTGTTAGCATAGTGGTTAGCGGTAGTGTATTGCTTAGCTCGCTGCGCTATGAACCTGTCCATATGTATGTGTGTAGGTCGATGTGTGTGTGAGTCTGTGTGTGCGTCAGTCGATGTGTGTGTGTGTGCGCATCAGTCGATGTGTATGTGTGCGTCAGTCGATGTGTGCGTCAGTCGATCTGTGTGTGTGTGTCAGTCGATGTGTGTGTGTGTGCGCGTCGATGTGTGTGTGTTCGGCAATATGTGTGTGTGAGTCCATGTCTGTGTTTTTTTCACCTGGGCAACGCTGGGTACTTCCCGCTAGTAGGCAATAAACCAGTAATGTTAATACAGTTATGAGTGAATGTTGAGTTTCTTTTCGCCTGATGTTTCCCTTCATCCCTGCTCTCCCCGCCGCCAAATCACACCCCGTTGCTGCGTGGCAGGATCGCGCGCTTCTCCAGCGTCTACCACCTCTCCATACACATCTCCCGCAACTTTGGCGCGGAAGCCACGCGGATCTACTACATCGGGCTGCGGGGAGAGTGGATGCAGGTTTGTGTTCGCTACTTCGCTCACAATGTCGGTGACGAACAATTTGTCGGGTACGCCGCCACTTCGTCGAGCTGGCCTCTCAACAATTGTCACAACCACCTCAATGTACGGAAGTAATGTAGCATGATAGTGTACGCACGCAAGTACCTCCGATTAGCACGGTTGGCTGCGTATGATGCGAAAGAGGTTCAACGTATCCGGATTGTTGGCTTCTAATCTAACACGTTTTTTTTCCCATCAGGCTCACCAGCACAAGGTGACCCTGTGCACATACGAGGCCTCGGCCAATCCAGCCGACCACAAGGTCGACCTCTTCACCCCTCAGACCCACTACATTTCCTGAAGGCCTGCGGGCCTGCTACGCATTCGCTACGGAAATCCTCTGAGCGGCAGTAAACTACGCGACCCCCCCCCCCCCCCTTAATTTGTTATGATTCACGTTCCCAGTGATGACATTCCACCACAGTGTCGTCGTCGTCGCTGGGAAACGATGTGGCTCCGCTTCGGTCGGTCATTGCAGGTGATGCCATGCGCTGTGTTTGTTTTGGATTGGCGTGGTTCGCGCCGATTGTGACCATCTCGGACAGAATTCTGCCAGTTACACGTCGAGTGTATTGTGTTATAGCAGCCTCGCTGGAAGTGTCGATTTAAGGTTTAAGTTATTAATCAAGTTCTAGTATTTTTTTTTTCTTTTGCGGTAGACCCCCTTCCCCATTAACCGCACTACTTCCGGGAACTTGCACAGATGGGCATTTTTTAGCGATTCTCTTAGCGGATATAAGATTGGCCATAGAGGATGAGAGCGGGGCAGGGAGTGAGAGAGGGGGGTTGCCGGTGATGGGTATGTATGAATGGTTTGATACGGTGAAAAATAAATGTACTACTGGGTTTGCGTAGTTTGTGATCGGGTTGTGCGTGGGGTTGGTCATGTGCGTGTTTCAGTGCACGTGCGGTTGGATGCATGTACGGTTGACAGCCTGAATGGTGGAATGCATTTACGAACGATTGACTGCAAAAACGCTTGTGTGTTTGGATGTGTGTGTATGTGGTTTAGCACGCGTGGTTGACTGAAGCATGGGTAATTGACAATCTACCGTCAAGTAATTTTTCATCCGTTCATTCATATTCAGATTTGAGTAAATTTCTACATGTTTGGTAATTCTTTCCTTCAATAGTTTTAATTAGGACAGACATCTTTTTCACAAAGTACTACCAATACGTTTTTGCTCATTTGTGCAAAACAAAGCCACTCCTTAAAGATTATGGCTAAGACTAGCAGATATGTGACCCAGTGTTGACCAAAGATGCTGTTTAACATCTTGATATTTTACTGATCATGGCATCTTGGTTTTAAGGCGATAAAGCAAGTTATCGTTGAGGTTTGTGTAAAAACGGCTTTAACGAAGTTGCCCAAGGCAAAGCAGAGTTAACATGTTGAATGAAGCACAGCCCAAAACATCTCTCTTGTACCTACACAAAAAAACAGGTTGCGCTAGGCTGTCCAACATGAGTTGGAAGTTTTGTTAATGAGAAGCGAGGAACCATACTCGTGGATTTCTGTAATGCTCTCCAACATATGATTGTCCTCAGGTGTATTTAATTCCACACTGACTAGCGTGGTGTGAGACATCGCTGTGAGATGACGTCGTGGGTAGTTGAGGTCTGTGTGTGACATCGTCGCCTCGTCTATTCAGCGCTGGATCTTTAATGCCAAGTTTATTGCAACCCTTTTGATCAATTTTGATCGTTTTTTTCTGGAAAAGTTTGTCATAACAATATAACTTTATTATGGAATGTTATTTAAATTGGATCCTGTATAGGACAACTATTGTGAACCCCTCCGCAAAAAAACACAAACCCCTCTCCTGTGACAGACACAGATGGAGGCCATGAAGTATCCACCATTAATGTCGCCGTACTTTTTGGTACAGCGTCACTATTGACATCACTTTGGGCACACCTCCAAAGTCGACTTAAACTCTTCGTTTCTCAAATTCATGTTGGAGAGCCCGGAGCACACAGCGGAGGTGTTTTCCAGAGAAGAAGAAGCCCGTTTCATGTTCTCTGTTATCCTTTAAACCCGACGTGAAGGTGGCACACTCCTGTCCTAAAATATGTACTGCGCTTAAAAGTGCCGCACGGCTAATTCATTGTCTTGCACAGCTACGTCAAAAGGCTCAAAATACTTCTCTAATCTTCCACCTGATCCTACATTTTTGTCTGCCACTTACGGCTATACACTTGAGGGTACTTGTTTTAGCGAGTTGATTGTTGACCCTTTGTGAGTCTCTGGATGCTTGGAACGAAACCTCGTTTGTGAAAACCTGGCTTTTTATTTGAATTTGGATGCAGCAAAAAGTCCCCTGCAGTCCGCTGACTACGTGTGCGTTTTCTGCTGACGTTTTGGTTGGAGTCAACAGCCACCAGGCCAGTGACACTGTGGCTTAGAGTGCCCGACTCAAGCAAAAGGTTGTGAGGGTTTAAAATCCCCGCAGGGGTTATTGGGGGTGCAAACTCAGCATTGCATTAATCTGGGTGTTAACAATGAGTACTGCTTTTTTTGTTGAAAAGTTAGGTGGTTTAACCCATGGTTCAACTGTCCCCCACCAAAGTAACGTGAAATTTGCAGCATTGGTTTTGAATTGTAAATGAAGATGAGCACTGCCCCCTTACTCGTTTGAGTCAGGTGACACTTCGGGCTTTTTCAGTCAGAGGTGATTCGAATAGCACGTACAATGTCATGTTACTTGAGGCGTATACTGATGTGATACAATGTTACGACTTAAGCAAAATTGTCCAACGCATTCGGCTCAAGGCACTTTGAAGACGGAGTGATCAATTTAACTCGTGTGTAGGTGCTAGATGGAATGTTACATCACAGGACAACTTGGCAAAGCCTTCATCCATCCAGCATTGTATTGATCGTGGCCAATGATGATTATTGGATGGGTCACTGCAAAGGGCCTGTGTTCATGTTTTCTTAAGCACAAATATTTTAAACCTGCTGTAACAACCAAACCAACCAAGGTGGATTAATTTCTTTAAAGTTGATGTCACCAGTCAAGTTGCGAACAATGGGAAAATATCATCTCGACAATGAGTTTTTTTTTAATTTCTACAATGTGTGACGTTTATTTGTTCTCTTATAGCAACAGGCTCCTGTTTACACGATCACACGACGGTATAATTGGGGATGTCGTAGCCTTACATGCGTGGAAGCCTTAAGCGCTGCTGCCATACTTGTTTGCACTGTTTGTACGTAAACATGCGTGACTCCGTGTGTGCTTGCAAAGCCATGAATGTATACACGATTACACGTGGGTGTTTGCAAACGTCCACTGGACTGTGCTTTTCTCTCCACAGGTGTGTATTATTAATGGTTTGTAAGAGGGAGAAAAGCCGTGGAATAAATGTGCTCTGCAGAAATGAACCATACATTTACTCAAATTATTTGGTGCTGCTGCGTTGGCCGTGGTCCACAAGCACACATAACATCTCGCCGTAGTGGCGACATCTTAACTCCCTCGCCTGGTATACAGGAGGTTGTGGGGTCAATCCCGACCCTGACGCCTGTATATTTGGAGTTTGCATGTCTCCCTGAGATCACGTGGATTTTCCTCAGGGTCCTTCGTTTTTTTTTCCCCTCATTTAGAATCATGCGTTTAGAATATTTGACTGGTATAAGTTTCCACATGATGATAAGCCACTTTGGTGAGCAATCTCGCTCCTGAAAAAGAGCTATACAGCTTAATGGAGCGTGGCTGGTAAAATAAAATAAAAATTGTTTAGTTAACAACTCAACATGCATAAATCTGTTTTTTTCGGTAAAGTCACGTAGAAATAAGAAAAAGAAAATTACACAATATACTATGTATGTTATGTAATTATATATACTATGTATATTACGTAATTACATAATATACTGTGTATATTATGTAATTTTATTTATCTTATTTCTACGTGACTTTACCGAAAAAAACAAAGATTAATTCCTGCAGTCACGAAAGCATCAAATCTAGTTTCAACTCAACATGCATCTGTCAATAACATTGCCTTAAAAATTAAAAGTGTTTAATCCACAAGGTGTTAGGGCAATGGTCATTCTTCACAGGACACAGAGGCCAGAGGCACCTCCTGTATGTACTGATTTACAGCAGTACTTGAGAGGTACCTGTCTGGCAAATTTGCACTATGACGCCGGCACACAGGGCCTGTTCTTGCGAATTACAGCACGGGGTATTTAACATCCACTTTGCAGTAGACAGCGTGTGGCAGTTGTATGGCGAACACACCTGCAGTATTGACCGGAGCGGACGCTGGATTCAAACCACGAATCGCGTGAACTGCAACAGGCGGTGAACACGCCACTGCAAAGCGACGTCACCGCCCTTATAAGTAATGCATTGCGTGCTTAATTGTCCTGCTAAACAAATGCATGTGTTGGATACAGCTGATACAGGCTTGTAACCGGTGAGCAGCGCATTGACCGCATGTAGACGTGGACTCCTATCTGCACGCTACATAAGTCTTTTGTGGTGCCTCTTTGCTGTTGGGTCACATTGGAGCAACCTCCCCATTAATGTTGACACTTCCTGGAATGTGCGGAATCCGTTGGGGCTTGGAAATGTCATCATAGGTCCCAGCGAGATATGCTCACCGCTACACTATAAAAAAATAAAGGCATCCCTTATGTAATACGTTAACATCACTAAACATTGGGACCAGAGAGACGTCCTACATTGGGAGGTTGAATGTATTCCTCGGTTGCACGAGGCTGCGATTCGGTTCAGCGTGTGTCATGAAAAAGCAAATCACCAATGATCTATTAAATGTCTTTTATGTGCCAATCGCAATCTACAAATATGCCATTTGTACATATTTAAAAGTGGTGCATTGACCAAGACACATTGATAATTACTGGAGTAATGTAATGTAGATATCCATTACCGATTTGCTATGCTTCATTTAATTTCTGTGCAAATTCCCAATAAATTTGAAGTGCATCACTTAAGTACCAATTACAAATGGCGAATTTGATCAAATAGCATATTTAAGTTGGAGGTAATTTTAGATGATGCCAATCTCTGCCAGTAATTAAACTAAAACATCGTTAACTTTTGTGGTCGTAGTAATGCTCATTATATATCCAGCACAAACTCACCGAGCTTCAAGTGCCCTTCACTGCTATACTGTACTGCGTTTGTCCAATTACATGAATTAGATGTTTAGTTTACCCTAAAAAAAACCCCATGCATACACGAGATTACGCTTTTAAAGTGCCAGACTCGGAAATCATGAAATTAGGTGGGAGAGCGTCCCAGAGTGTGGGGGCTACACGGGGGGTGGGGAGGGGGGAATCTCGGTCGTTCAATAATTAGTTTGAATTAAAAAAAGAGTCGGTGATTCCTTACGTTTTTCCTATACTCTACATTGGTAGCCCCGAGCCAACGCTGGACGCTCCACAGCCCACGTAGCATGTTCATGGATTTGCCATTTCCCCGCGCCTGTCTATTGCGTCACACGAAACGTGACTCAAGATAAACCCAGCAAGTGGACGTAGGGCACTATTTCACAAAGTGGATATGTGGTGTGTGTAGAAATGTTGGTTTTGGGAAGAGATGTGCGCAACCTGCAGCTTCCTTACCATCACCGTGCGCGAATGTTTGGATCCAGGCGTGGTGACTCACTCGTGCCATCACTCGTGCCATCCAGTGCATTAGAGGCAAGGCTTTGTGGATCACGCAGAGATTTGTGAAACTCCCAAACCAGGTGGTACTGCGAGGTAGCAATGAGATGGCAGTAAACACATACCTACACAACAATCACGAATTGGAAGAACGCACCTTAATATATAGAGAGCTACAGAGCTCGGGCGATTGTTGGTGCTGGCTCACCGCCTGGCTGCCTTTCCCACTTGTCTGATGGCTCCTGCTTGCACCAGAGTCATGCTGTCCGGTCGAGAGTGAGTGAATACTGTGCGGTGTGTTACAAATTGAAATTATTATTAATTTGTGTGGACATTTGAATGTTATACCCTCTTATATGTGGGTTGTCTCCAGCATACACTGGTTTCCTCCCACAAACAAAACATTTGTGAATGGACCTGTGCATAACATCCAAATGCAGAACCTTCCTGAAAGCCTTGAGACTTGTATGAGTAAGAGGCATTATTGCACCAATTTTTTACGACTTGAGCGAAAGCTTATATGACTCCCCTTCTCATACTGTGGGCAGTTTTCTATTCGTACAATTTAAGTCTGGCTCTTTCGTTTTGTTGCTGCCATCAGATATGAATCGGACAACGTGGATAGCGAGAAAGGAGTTTAGGAACAAATGTTCAAAGGTACCTAAAAGAAGCACGGAGAGATCCACGCTGGGAATTCTACTAAGAGGCACAGATAGATACACACGGATCGGAGAGCAAAAGCAATATTTTTTTGCAAAAAATATTTTATTAAATCTATATTTGAAGTTTTCGTGACTCCAGGGATCAATTCTCTTTGGTTCTTTCGGTAAAGTCACGTAGGTATAAAATAAAATAAATTGTATTAACCAAACGATTCAGGTACACAGGGCATGTATGGGAATTTGACAACAGTATAGACTGCAAAATATGATTTTTACCAACGTTTTATATATATTTTTTAAACCTGTCTGTTTAAATACACTCTACGTCCCTGGTGGCTACTTCCTTAACTCGGATAATCCTCTCGGGGGAAGGACAGGGAGGGTGGGGGAGGTGGGGAAGGAGGGGGAGAAAGAAAAGCGGGGGTGGGGGTGCCTTAATGCCTAAATGAATGATCTTGAAAACCAATGCACACTGCAAGAGAAGCCGTGAAATGGGCTCCAAGTTTTGTGATATGCCTCTTCCCTGCCATACCTTAATTTTGCACTTCCATGTCGAGTGAAAGCAATGCATAGAATGGTTTAGTTGTATTTGTATGTGTTTGGGTGATTTGTTTATCTTGTACTTAACACTCCTATCATACTTTTTGGTTCTTTCGATAAAGTCACGTAGGTAGAAAAATTTAATTAAAATTAAAATGATATATCACGACGTTTCGATCGCAACACAAGCGGTCGTCCTCAGGCAGAAAAAATAATCCAGCAGTGGAACTGCTGAACCAGCGAGAGAGCTGTTACAGCAAGAGGCTGTATATGTGGCGATGGGCAAGCAAGCGGGGTCTGAGCTGGAAAGGAATTCCATCCCCAGACGCAAGCACTTCAGTTGTGTTAATGGGGGAGAGATTAACATGAAATGAGCTTCCGTCGCCGCATAAGAGTATCATCCCCGCATCTGCGCACAACAGCAGTGTTAATGGGAGATTAGCTAATCTCCCATTAACAGTAAATGTAAGGCTAGCAAACAGAAGGCTCGCAAACGTCAGCTAATCCGAGGGGGGTAGGGAGGTGAGGGGCTGCCATAACGGGCGAGTGGGTGGGGATGCAATTTACAGAGGGATCGGCGGCAGGAGGAGAGAGAGGGGTGGTGGGGCAGAGCAAGACGGGGCTGCGCGTGAGGTAAGGGGGTGAGAGAGGAAGGGAGCTGCGCGAGCGCCAGGGGGAGAGAGAGGGGGGGGGGCAGCAGGAAGAGAGGGAGGAGAGAGAGGGGTTGGGTCATAGATAATCGGTGACAGGGGGAAAGAGAAGCTGTGTTAGTGAATGTGACTCAGAGAGTCGAGAGAAGCTGCTAACATAGGCGGGCAGGAAGGGGACATTGCAGCCAGTTATGACCGAAACTGGTTAATAACGTCCTTCCAATAATTGCTTAGTTTGTACCCATCTTCTCAGTTGAGAATATGGGTACATGTCTGTGTTTATATGTCTGGATGGCTTCATGGACAAATCTTTGATGGTAGCCCGAAGGTTTGCGGAGTACCTTGGTCTCGGAAAAAAAATATCATGTGAGCCCACCGTGTTAAAACAGTGATCAGCCACGGCAGAGGTGTTGATTCTGCCGTGTTTGAAATCTGCCTTGTGTTTGCGAACACGGTCCGAGACGTCGTTTCGTTTCCCCAATGTAATTGCTGCCGCAGACACAACTTAGTTTGTAGACACCACGGTATTGCATGTCAGGAATCACATCCTTCACAGATGGGATCAAATCACGGATTTTTGTACTGTGTTGAATCGAACCTGGATGTTGTGTTTGTTCAATATTTTGGAAATATTTTTGGTAACACCTGCTATGTATGGCAAGGTGATGGTTTTGATTGGGTCCTCAGATGGTTGTCTCCCCATGGTTGGGGCTACAGCTTTGCAGATTGTGCGGTCTGAATATCCATTCATCTTGGGCTTGGTGTACGTGCTCAAGCTCACTGACTAGGTGGTGCTGGTCGGAGATGCAACAGGCCCTATGGTGTCGCGTTTTGATGAGGGAATTCTTCTGGGCTGGATGGTGGTGGGAATCAGGCTTTAGATAGGAATCCG